TCCTCCTCCTCTGCTATAGCACGTCTGATGACCTTTCCCAAGGACTTGTTTCTCGGGTGAACATGTCCAATGTATAGGAGATGACTTTGTTTCGTGTGTGTGTGTGTGTGTGTGTGTGTATGTGTGTGTGTTGTTTTAAATCTTGTTTCTTATTCAAATGGCCTTAACCTATAGCAAATTGCAGTACTTTAAGGATTGAATTCTCATTTCCCATTTCTTCCCATCTGCCTATGGTAACTAATCAATACACTTTTATTTCTATAAAATTTTCTATACTATATATATTTACTTAAGTGAGTTCATACAATATTTGTCCCTTAGTGATTGGCTTATTTCATTCATAATAATATTTTCTATTTCATTCAGATTGAAGCTCCTATCAGAACTTCATTGCACTTGAAGGCTGAGTAATATTTTACTCAGTAAAATTTTGCTGAAAATCATCCAACAAAGGTTTCAGCAGTGGATGATGGGAGCTGCCAGAGGTTCCGGTTGGATTCAGAAGAGACCATAGAATAAGGGAGATCACTGCTGATGTCAGATGATCTTGGCTTAAGCTGGGAATAGCAGGAAAGTATTTGCTTGTGTTTTGTTGACTATGCTAAATCATTCAACTGTGTGGATCATAACAACTTGAGAAGAATGGAAGTTCCAGAACACTTATCCTGTGCTCACGTGGCACTGCTCCTTGGATCAAGCGTCAGTTGTACGACTGATATGCCACATTCCCTTGTTTTGGACATAAACAACAAAGATTCCAATGTATACAAAAGTTTGGACCAAATTTTGTTTACTGATTCATCAACTGATGGGTATTAATGTTGGCTCTACTTTTTTAATATTATAAAAATGCTGCAGTGAATTATACTTTCTTTCAATTCATTTGAGTATGTCTCTAGAAGTGGATTTCTTGGGTCCTAAGGTAATAATACTGTTTCACTTTTCTGAAGAGCTGAAAATTTGTCTTCCACAGGATGGCACCACAGGGCTTTCTACTAGTTTTCGTAGGATGCTGTTGAGTAGACTATTGTTCAAAGCAAGCCCAGGTGATGTGGCTTACAGCATTTTATTTGATATACTCTTTACAGAAGATCACCAGGTGCTTCTATTTTGGAGCCACTGCTTAACTCAAGCTGCCCATTTTAAAATTTACAGCACTGTCTATAACTGTTGTGCCACCAGCTTCTTAAGTATGAAGGAGAGTCTATCCATGTTGTTTTGTGTTTTCTTTGAAAAAATATGACAGTCATAATAGACAGTGGTGCTAGAAGCTATATGTCACCCACATATAAAATACTTGCAAAATAACTTATACAGGATCAGTTTCAGCAGGGCTTCCAAACTTAGACAAACAAGGAAGAAGGACCTCAATATTTACTTGTAAAAAAATGTCTGATGAAAGTGTTATTAGTAGCAAGAGAACATTAAGTTATAGAGAGCTGGAAGATTAGTGCCTACGGTTGGAAGGCACACAACATGTGACTAGTGAAGAGCTATCTTCTTCAGGTAGATTTGACCTTAATGGTGTAGATGGATAAAACCTTTGAGACCTTCATTGATATAGCATGGCACAAAATGAAAAGCAACAGCTACAAATATACAGTAATAATAGAAACATGCAGAGTATGAATCTAGAAATAAATAAAATATGTCCAAAATGAAAAGCACAGTTTTAGGATTAAAATGCTTGGCAGTAATGAGTGGAAATAGACTGATATTGGCAATTCTGAGTTAGACAATCATGTGATGTAATGTGTCAGGAATGACAAATTGAAGAGGAAGACTGTCACATTCATTATCAAAAGAAGAGCTCAGATCTATTCTGAAATATTTTGCTGTCAGTGATAATGCCCACATGTCTACATGGAAGACCAGTTAATATGACTATAATTAAAACTAATTTCATTAATTGCTAATGGGAACAAAGGAAGAAATAAAAAGATTTTTAAACCAATTTTGTAGTCTGAAATTGATCAAACATGCAATCAAGACACATTAGGAATTTATTGTGATTGAAACACAAAAGTTAGAAACAAAGAATGATCAGCAATAAAAATTTTATATATATATATATGCCTTGGTGATGGCAATGACGCTGGGGATCACATAGGACAAGTTTACAATTGCAACAACCTAGTCAACAAGCACAAGAGCCAAGACATGACTTTGTATACATCGCACCTGAATTTCAATATATCAAATATATTTGATACATTGGGCATCAATGAGAGAAGACTTGACAAGCTATAGGATGACAGGAAATTCATCCTTCCTGAAACCAGGAAAGGCCATTGAAAAGCAAAGAAAGAAAGCAAAAGCAAAGTGGGTATTAGAAGAGAGTGAAACTTGCTCTTGGGGAAAAAAAAAAAAGCAGCTAAAGCAAATGGAAGAAATTATGAAGTAAAAGAGCTGAACAGAAAACTTCAAAGGGCAGCTTGAGAAATGTGGTAGTTATATAATTGTCAATTTGAGGATAAAGATTGTAGGGGTGGAGTCTAATCTGTCAATCATATCATAGCCAATGAAGCCTCTGTGTGGGCATGGCCTTGTCCTGAGGATTCTGGGAACTCCTGGATTTCCTCCTTGGGTGTGGGATACTCTCTCTGCTCACACCCTGGGAGATGTAGCAGCTAAAAAGACACATGGAACTACTCTAGTGCTCTGAGATGGAGAAGCCATGTGGAGACCCCTGCCAGCATTGAGATGCTTACAACATCACTGATTCACAAGACTTCCCACCTACTGACCTGTGACCATCCTGCAATCAGCATCATTGTATGTATTTCATGAGTCTTAAGAGGACTTTATGGATTGGTATCAGATATATGGGCTAATATTGGACCTATGCATTTGATCTGGACTGGGATGGGATGTTTTCTCAATATTCAATTGCTCTTGTATATAAACTGCTTTCTTATACACCTATGAGTGTCTATGAATTTGTTTCTCTAGTCTACCTGACTAGAAGACAAAGTATTATAATGACATGTGCAAAGGACAGGGGTTAGAAAACTAAAAGGGAAGAACATACCACATAAACCAGCTGAAAAATTGGAAAAAAAAAATTCCAGCCCTATATTGATACATTGAAAGATTGCATGGCCAACATTGAATAGTGCAGGAAGCATCAACAGAATGTGGAAAGAACAAAGCATCACTGTACAAAAAGAGCTCATCAATATTCAGCCATTTCAAGAGGGAGCATGTGAGCAAGAACCAGTCATCTTAAAGATGAAGCCCAAGCCACTGAAGACATTAGCAAGAAAGGTTCCAGAATACTCCTTGAAATGTCTCATTAAGCTGATGAAGCACTCACTCATCCAAGCCTAGAAATTTGGAAGACAGCTACCTGACCAACTGATTGGAAAAGATCCATATTTATGCCCATTCCAAGTGAAGCTCAGCCAACAGGATGCACACATTATCAAACAGTGTCATTACTATCTCATGGTTTGCCCCAAACAGACAAATCTGTCTTGTCATAAGTATAGCCAAAATATTCCTTAGAATCAAGATGCACGTTGGACATGTTATCAGGAGGTACCAGGCTATGCCTTTTACTCTATTTATTCAATCTGAATGTTAACCAAATGATCTGACAAGATGACAAGACTCAGATTTAGATTTAGAAGACTCACTGACAGTATGTAAAATGCAGATGGAACAATCATGATTACTGAGAACCATGACGACTTTCAGCACTTACTGATGAAGATCAAGGACAATAGCATTAATTTTGGATCACACCTCAAAATAAAGAAAACAAATTCTTCACAAATGGATCAACGAGCAACATCATGAAAATTGAAAAAATTATTTGCGTTATTTTACCTGGATTCACAATAAACCCCCAAAGAAGTAACAATCAAAATATCAAAGAACATATTGCTTTAGGTTAAACTGTGGGAGGGGGGGACCCCTCTGTTAAATGTCTAAAAGAAAAAATAAGTCACCTGAATATTAAAGTACATTTGATCAAAACCTTATTTTCAGTAACCTCATATGAATGTGAAAGTTTGATAATCAATAAGGAAAATTGAAGAAGATGTTTACATTTGAATAATGGTGCTGTCTCAGAATGGACTGCCAGAAGTATGAGCAAACCTTTATTTGAAGAAGTGCAGCCAGGATGGTCCTTAGAAGCAAGGCTGATGAATCTTCAACTTATGCACTTTGGACATAATAAGAGGATGGACTGCTCTGTGGAGGAGGATATTGTAGTTGGTAAACCAGAGGACTGTGCCAATCTTCATGGAGACAGGCTGCATAGTAGCTGAACAATGGACTCAGACATAGGTATGAATGTAAGGTTGGCCCAGGACTAGGCAGTGTTATGATGTTGAATATCTTTTTACATGTTTGCCAGTCATTTATAAATTCTCTGTTATAAAATGCCTACCAAAGTTCCTTGGCCATTTTTAAATTGGGCTGGTTGTCTTCTTGGCATTAAGTTGTATGTATTATTTATATCTTTTGTACTTCCAGAATTTTTCAAATACATGATACTCCCTCAAAATAGTTCAACAAGAATCAAAGAGCTCAAAGGAAGAACGGAGACAATAACACTCTTAAGTAAAATATCACCCAGTGCCAACAAGTCGGTTACAACTCACACTTACCATGTGCAATGTTTTGGAGACTGTAAATCTTCACAGAACAGACTGTCGTCTCTCTGCCAGTGAGCATTTGGTGGTTTAGACAACTGACTTTGTGGCCAGCAACATCGCCCCTAAAGCTCCTGAAAAGAAAACACATACAGCGAGACACAGAATAGGAAAGTGTTGCTGATGAAAATAAAAAAATATTTTCTCTTAATATGACTTTTTAACAGAGGCAATCTTCAAATTGGAGAAAATGTATGAAAACCGCAAATTTAATTGACTGCTATGTATTTATTCTAAAATTATAACTTATAATCTTTAGTACATTATATTTCTTTTTTAAATACAAAATCAAGTTAGAAATATATGAATAAGTGGGTCTAAGATCCTTCTTCATCCTCAATCTTGGGAGCTGAATAGTACTTTAAGTGTCCCATTGTATTCTACAACAATGGGTACATCTGCAGACATGCTCAGTGTTACTGTAGAAGAGAGTGGAGTGGCTTTTGTAAAGAAGTTCAGGTATCTAAGTGCAAAAGTTAGCTGAACGGGCTCATTCATCTCTATGGTAACAGCCTCCTCCTCTTTATCAATGTTACTTGTTCGTGACAACTTAATATTCCCATTTCTGAGTTCTCCACTTGCAGAAAATTTCACTCCATCTTTCGCACAGGAAATGACAGCAGCATCTCCAATATGACTGAGGTCTCGGCAGGTACGTGCGAATTCACCAGAAGGCATCTTCACTACACAGCCATACTCCTGCTCTGGAATTCCAAGTTGTTCAACAGCTAAATCCATGAACTTCATTTCATAGTCCGAAACATTTTCTTGGTTTGGTGCTTCGAATACTAGTGCCAATGAGTCTGTGTTATCTTCTGCCCTCAGTGTGATGATGTCTTCATTTCCAGCACACTTTAGTATCTTGGACATGCTGGTGAGGTTCACGCCCATGGCCAGGTTGCAGTGGCAGCAGTACATATCGAAGCTCTTGGAGTGCAGAGTGAGCTGCACCAGGGAGACGTGGGATGAATTCATGCTCTGCAGGTTTACGCCACTTGAGCTGATGTTCCAGCAGGCCTCATTGATGAGATCCTTGAGAGCCTCCAGCACTTCCTTCAGGATGGAACCCTGGCCCAGGTGCGCCTCAAACATGGTGGCGAAGTCACAACAACAAGGGTGGAAAGTATGATGGTCTAGCTGGTGGAGTCCCCTCAAGGATCAGAGAACCAGAAGTTGGAGACAACCAAGGAACACCCTTGGAGACAACCAAGGAGCACCCTGGTAGGGCATGATCAAGGGGAATGTAACAAAGAGGAAGAGCTGAAACCCTGGTGGGGACTGAGCATGATAGTGGGACAGGAGGAAAATCAAGGGAAATC